TTCTTAACATGCAACTGCTAGAGAGCTATATCGTGCACTAATACACTTCTTGTGTATAGGACTGATGGAAATTCTTGGAGCACAGGACCAGCGCCACCGCCACCTCCATATACAGCACCGCCGCCTCCTCCAAACCATTGGAACGGCGCAGGTCAGAATGGTGATGGTTCATCAAGTTCTGGTGGAAGATCTGGCATAGGCGGTGGAGGTGTAGCAGGAATCATTATATCATTGCTGGTTGTTGGATCAGTTGTTGCATTTTTCCTGATCAAAAGAAGAAAACGCAAAGCTGCTATGGAAGAACACTTTGAACAGCACCAGCCATTCACTTCCTTCCCTTCAAATGAAGTTAAAGGTCAGTTAACTTGATGACTGTCACACTTGAGAGATGTTTCCACAGCTTTATCTAATTATGTGAATATTTGCTTATACACATTTTGCAGACATGAAGCCTATCTATGAGTCCACCGCAGTAGACATAGAGTCTTTAGCTTCACCTGCTTCAATTATTCTGAAACCACCCCCGAAGATAGAACGGAACAAATCATTTGATGATGATGATGATTTTTCAAACAAGCCCATTGCAAAGAAAAGTAATATAACACCTATAAAGGCAACTGTTTATTCAGTTGCAGATCTACAGATGGCAACAGATAGCTTCAGCTTCGACAACCTTGTTGGAGAGGGTACTTTTGGACGTGTTTACAGGGCACAGTTGAATGATGGAAAGGTATGCTATATATCTTCATGTCACAATTCCTATGTGTTTCCAAAGGTACACGAAAGTTTTTCTTGACTTGTGTCTTTAAGGTCTTTGAAACCAGGACTAATATCTTTAGTCAGCTGGTTACATACGTGTCCACAGTAACCCTTATGTCACTTCATGTATATATTATCACATTGGTGAAAGGTGATAATTATAAGGAGCTAAGAATAGGCTATATTTCCGGAGCGAGGTGTTGCTTCGATTTTTCTGTTATAATATTTTTCCTGTTACTTTCGAAAGCACTTATGTAGTGGGATATAGTAGTTGAACCCTTTAAATATAAGGCACTAACTTTTGTTTCCTTTATCTAGGTTCTGGCCATCAAGAAATTAGACAGTACTGTGATGCCATTTCAATCATCTGACGACTTTGCTGAACTAGTCTCGAACATTTCAAAATTGCACCATCCGAATCTGAATGAGCTTGTGGGCTATTGCATGGAACATGGCCAGCACTTGCTTGTTTATGATTTCCACAGGAATGGATCGCTTCATGATCTACTCCACCTTTCAGATGAGTACAGCAAGCCACTTAGCTGGAACTCTCGTATCAAGATTGCACTTGGCTCTGCCCGTGCACTGGAGTAAGTGGAATTGTGGAAATAAACTAGTATATATTTTTTCCTTAATCTGGATGTATGAATTATGATATTGAATATACATGCTATTTAGTATTGTACATGATTTTAAATATTGTAGAAATTTCCCTGTCATGTGTGGCTCGACCTAACTGGACAGTAAAAGGACCTTGTTTGTTTTCATCCATATGTAGTAGTTGCACAAGTGACTTGTTATTAGTGGCCATCAAATTAACGGTATTACTGTTGACCGTATCATTCTATCCATATATGAGCTGGTAGCATCTTTGCGTATTATTGTTCTAGATAATGGAATAAAACCAAACATAGACTTTTGTTTGGGCATATTTTCTGCTCTTTTCTAGTTCTGTGGATATGCACTGAACATTGTTACACTGAGTGATTGAAGAACATGCTTCAATGATTATTGAGCTTGTTCATTACTTGATAGATACTATAGCATTTTTTTCCTTATGAAATATGTAGCTCCTTATAACTTTGAACTGAAATATAACTTGTAGGTACCTTCATGAAATATGTTCTCCATCCATCATCCATAAGAATTTCAAGTCATCAAACATTTTGCTGGACTCAGAATTCAATCCACACCTTTCAGATGCTGGACTTGCAAGCTTTATTCCTGATGCTGAATTCCAGGTAATGGTCAATATTCTAACATCCATTTCAAGAAGACTGGTTGCATAGTTGAGTTAAATGAACTTCAGCACATGGAGAAAACTTTGGTAGTTGAGCTATTAAAATGAACAGTTTAATGAGTCTATATAAGTTCATGTATATACATTGTACAATGATGGAAAAGCAAATATCTTTTATGTCCTCCTGGTTATCTAGTATACATCATCTATGCAATTCTTACCCAGCCTTTCAGACACTGGCTCATTAACCATCTTCATAATGTTGATCACCAACTAAACTTGTGCAGGCAGCAGAACAAAGTGCCGGATACACTGCCCCAGAAGTGGACATGACCGGTCAGTACACCCTCAAGAGTGATGTCTACAGCTTTGGAGTTGTCATGCTTGAGCTATTGACAGGACGTAGGCCATTTGACAGGTACACTCCCATCATCTGTTTTTAAGCTTTCTTTTAGTTATAAATTTGGTATTGATGATCAGATATGCCATTGTATGACTGTTTCCATTACAGCTCTAGACCCAGGTCAGAGCAGTCACTTGTGCGGTGGGCAACACCCCAGCTGCATGACATCGATGCATTGGACATGATGGTCGATCCTGCACTCAAGGGTCTATACCCAGCCAAATCTCTATCCCGATTTGCTGATGTCCTTGCCCTGTGTGTCCAGGTAGTAATTCCATTCATCATCCATGCAGGATAGTCATAGCATATCCATCTAAATAAAATCTGAACCTTGTGAACCAAATTCTTGTTGCAGCCTGAACCAGAATTCAGGCCACCAATGTCAGAGGTGGTGCAAGCATTGGTTCGACTTGTGCAGAGGGCCAACATGACGAAGAGAATGCTTGATGGAGATACTTCTCGGCGACAAGATGACCAGGACCAAGATTTCATATGACAAGCTGAACTCGAGCCTTTTAGCTGCTTCTCAGATTGTATTTATTTCGTTCGACTAGCGCCCAGCAGAGACATAATCACACAAGTGGAAGAAACAGAACTTTGTCAGCTTCGCCAGTACATAATCACAGGTTTTTTCTTGGTAGCAAAGGTGTTGTGCTCTATGGTTGATGGTTGTATTGTGTCAACGAAATAGTACCTTGATCTTACACTAATGACATTCTGTTACATTCGTTGGGTAGATTATATGCAAATGCTCCAGATAAACAAAACTATGGTGTCAAGTTTGCCGAATGCTAAAATAATCAAGTAGTTCAGTGCTGCTGCATCAACTGAAACAAGTTGCACTTAGGATTGCATGTAGGGCACGCGGCCCTACACTCATCAACGGTGTCGTAACACATCACTTTCGGCAGTACAGTCAAGCAGCAGTAGCACACATGATTACACTGTCTCGCTTGGCAGAAATTCAGCACCACATTGCTCACATCTACTACTCCCAAGTGCGTAGCGTTAATGCTTGTAGTGTTCCTTGTAGTAGTTCCAACATTTGCGAGCTCCAGAGGACGACCTGCTACAGTTGATGTGTTCATCAGTACGAAGTAGGATAATATATACAAAAAATCTACAACGAATTCTGTGAAAAAAAGAGAGACAAAAATCTAAACTTACATTGGGCTACAGGCGTCAATAATGATGCTACGAGAATGATCATCATCACGCACGCAAAGCCACCACCCAAGTTGGTCGTATTCATGCTAGATCTTGATTCGATTTTAAGTAGTACTGCGTCCTATGAGATAGGTTTTAAAGCAAGACTATTGGATGGTTTATATACATGGAAAGATGGGGTTTTCCGCACATATTTTGTAGAACGTGTTTTATTAAAAGAAAATATATTATAGCACGTGTTTTATTAAGAGGTATATGGAAACACGTCGTCAGAATCATATTTGGTTTTATTTGCCGCGCATGGAGAACAAGTATGGGGAAAAAATATAGTACTAGATACGTGAAGGAAAATTTCGCTCGATCGGATGCTCCTTTTCCAATATTTATTGCTACCCCAGCCAGTGTTCTATGCACAGATCGATGGAAGCAGAACGCAACATGTATACTGCCTCAGTCCCATAAAAAAAAATTATCATTTTTACTCCAGAGAAATAAATATTTTCAAATTTTAATTAAATATATAAAAACATTAATACTTTTGATATATAATTAGTATCATTAAACAGCTCGTTCAATATATTTTAATAATAAATTTATTTAGAGATACAAATGCAAGTCTCGTTAAACTTGAAAAAGTCTGACCAATAAAAACCTCATAACAACGCTTTTTATAGGTGGAGGGGATATGCCCGTCAACGCAATAAATACTATCAGTATAACACACGACACAAAGGAGTACATACAAAGGAATGCTAAAGGTAACCATTGGCACAATGGATGATTTAAACCGTTCGATATTTTTCATCCAAATAGCTTGGGAATTTTTTTTTTGTTTTTAATATGTTGTGCTTGTTTTTCGTTATAAGGAGAAAGAGTTGTTCTTACGACTGTTGTAAATCGTATATGTACGGACTGAAATTAGAAAAAAGAGGAAAAAAATTCTAATCCTACTAAACTCTTATTACACTTTTGTCATACTTTATATACATGGACTCTACATTATAATGGACAATAATCATAGAATAAAAAATAGTTCTATTTACATTATAACTTAGTGTTCTTCTACTAGCATCTATCGTATTCATCATGATCGAACCCTAGCACAGAAACATTTTTTATGACAAGGTTAAAAGCAAGCACTATATAGGCCCTGTTCGGTTGCTCGATTTCCGGCTGCTGGCTGGTACTATTACAGTAACCAGAATCAGGCGAACCAGCTGGATTCTTTCCCAGCTCAGCTGAACAGTAACAACAGCTATTTGAATTAAAAAATGGCGGCAAAGGCAACATTTATTGTAATTCAAACACAAGGCAGCAGCCCATTACAGCCCTTACAACATTCAAATGAATTGAAACAACAGCAATGCTAACTCATGGGTGTTCTCCATGACAACACTTACATCATTCAAATACATTTCACATGGCAGCAGCTCAATACAACAAGTTCAATACAACACCAAGATTACAAGTACCAGGATTACGAGCAACAGGTCCAGCCTCCTGCAGCAGCACAATTTGGAGACAAAAGTTAGAAGCATTTTCAAGCAGAGCAAAACTCATGGCATCAGTAGAAGAGCAGTGCCAGTTTCCTCTAAAGAGTAGACAAACTATGATGCATCATCGCTATACTAGCGGATAGACCTCAGGGCTCGTTAGGACACTAGCACATACTTAGCTGGTACTATTGCAAGAAAGCAATGCCAGTACCTTCACTTAATGTTGTCCTCAGAATTATTTGACAATACAAGTGGCAGTCATGCTCACTACCTGCGCCTTAGATCTCTCTGCAAAAGGAAAACAAAAGAAAAAACTTTAAGTTGGAGACATGGAGCTTTTCCTGACAAATCATGCATTGCTGCTTGAAGATGATGATGTGTTTATTTTAAGGGAGACATTCTGACAAAATAAATAAATGCATGGAAATAGAAAATGAAACCAAGTCTTCTTTTTGGTCATATACTGCGATGTATTAAGCTATTACGAATTGTATCGGGTCACCAACCAAACAGAATAGAATTATATATGTACCAACTTTTTGATATGCAACTGTTTTGCGCGCAATAGCTTAGATTCTTAGGGCACATTTTGATGGGGACAACAACCTCCTAGAAGCCACAAGCAAGTTGAAATCATATCTAGAAGGGAAGGCTTACTCTTGGACCACGGTATGTAATTGGTGTTGCTCTGCTCCCTATATTATCTGCTTGCTGAATCATCTGTGGACTATCATGCTTATTGAATGCCTGCAAAGTTCTCACCATGAAAGGACGGACAATGTTCACTTCCATTGCAGAGAGATTTTTGAGCTGCAAGAATGCAAATAAGATGAATAAGATATTGTTGTTGTCTGATCAATGAAGCAAGACGTTAAGCTACTATAGGAAACACAGATAAATACAGGGGAAGTGGTAGTTACATCCAATTCAATAATAGCTTTGATAGAATGACAATTGTTTTAGCATCCGCAGTTCTTAAGGGGGAAATGTTACCTTTACGGCATGGGTGCGTCCAGATATCGTCTCTAATCCAGTCTCAACCTTGTGGAATCTGACATCTCTGATGTCCTCTATTAGAGATCTCACCTGTATCACAATGAAAACTAGGAGTAAGCATATATTGTTTTTCCAATAGTATTAGGATTTACTAGACACAACTAACAAATCTGCACTGAGATTAATTAAACAAAAGCCACCGGCCCATTACAGCCCTTACCACATTCAAATGAATTGAAACAACAGCAATGCTAACTCATGGCTGTTCTCCTTGACAACACTTACATCATTCAAATACATTTCACATGGCAGCAGCTCAATACAACAAGTTCAATACAATACCAGGATTATAAGTACCAGGATTACAAGCAACAGGTCTAGCCTCCTGCAGCAGCACAATCTAGAGACAAAAGTTAGAAGCATTTTCAAGCAGAGCTAAACTTAGGGCATCAATAGATCCATGTGAAGCAAAAACCGATCACAGGCATCTCCTTGCAGCCATCATCTGCTCCCCGTGCACCATGTCGGCACTTCGTTCACCTGCATGTGTACATATCCGCATTAGCCCCAAACTAGGCAGCCAAAGGAAATGTTCATGACTTCACTGATAACATCCACAACCATAATTGTTTCACTTACGTTGTCTTCCTAATGAGTCTAAGTCCATATGTTATCCAGTCGCGGACCTGCTCCATATCATTAGGATCTCCCAACGCCATAGCTGCCACTTGACTCAAAGGCCCAAGGTCTGGCGCCTGCCTGAACCTCACTGGTTGGTGCTGACCCTCCAGCTCAAGCACGTAGTTGTGCAGTGCATAAAGAGCAATAATTATCTGGGTTTGTTTGGTCCCCAGATAATGAGGTACGCCTTTCAACATCTGCCACTTAGCCTTTGCTGCCCCAAATGTCCTTTCTATGACATTACGCAACTTGGAATGGTGCCGGTTGAATAACTCATGCGCATCACAAGCCCCCCTAGTCTGGAACTCCTTCATCCAGTACTTCTTATTTGGATACGGCGTCAGATACCCGGGGCAAAGTGTGTAACCAGAGTCCACCAAGTAATAGCGGCCTGCATAAATTCAGTGCAAGACATCAGTTCAAATACAATTAGCTCCAGCATGAAACCTTTGCATCAATACATCAACCAATCGAACTAAGTTCAACTAACCTGATGGTGGATGTGGGAAAGAGGCATCATCTTCTGCTTTTCTTTTCACCCGCATATCATGAGCTGAACCCTCTGTCCCCGCCCTGATATACGTGAACCTCATGTCGAAGTCACAGACCGCAACCACATTTTAGGTTGGCTTCCCTTTCCTATTGATGTGGTTATCACGGACTCCTTGATCAACTATCACATCAATGTGAGTGCCATCCATGGCGCCTATGCAGCCATCAAAAAACGGCATGTACTCCAACAATTCAGCCAGCACTACTGAATAAGTAGTGTCCCTAGGCCTAATCACGTCATCTGTAAATCTAGTCATGGCTGCCAGAACATGGGAAAATACCTTGCTACATGTCCCCAACCCCCTCCTAAATCTCTCATGCATTTGCCTCTGGCATTGATTTGTACCACATGCCCATAGAAACATGGCTAAAGCTTCAATGGATTCAAGCTCCCTGCTGCCTTTTAGCCCATAGCTATCACGTAGTATGCTATGCAACCTAACCAAATTTTCAGGCCGCATTCGACAGCTTTCAAAGCACCTACCAGCATCTGACAACAGCTTATCTACCTACTATCTTCCGGTAAGCTCAGGCACAGAGATAACATGATTACCTTGTGGTGGTACCTACAGCATGTACATATATGCATAGCCTCCAGCCATAGCTGCAGTAACCATCTCATTGAAACTGTTTTCACTTGAATTTTGACTATCCTCGTCGCTGTTGTCCATGTTCCAACATGCTGCCAAGGAAAAATATAAACCAACGTTGGTAAGTAAATTCCAATAGTATATTAAGCATGACTTGTGAATATGTTGATGCAAAAGAGAATCTGCAAACACAAAGGGCTAATACCCGAATCGATATCCAAAGCGTGCCAGTCGATTTGACCTGTTAATCGACAAGGATGAAGATACGAGCACTTTGGTCCTGACAACAGCGATACGCCCGGAAGTCACGGCCAAGAGGTACTCACGCGGAACTCGAGAATCGCCGAAGGTTGCACTGAAACGATGCAACTCGCCGAATCAATGAGAACTCGTAAAAAGGAAAAATATGCAAATTGACGAAGTCGTCGAAAAGTAAGTAGATGTAAATAGGAGTAAAAATTGGTTTTTGATATTGATTCATCCCTATTACATTGCCCCTCAATCTATATTTATACCCTGATCTAAAGAGACAAAACCAAATACGACTAGGACACCAAGTCCATATCTAAGGAAACACGTGACTCTTACATGAATCATACTCTAACAAATATAGAAAAGGAAATCAACTCCTATCTATTTCCCTGTCCGCCTCGATTACGATGGAATTCTCACCGACCTCCTTTCCATCGGCATACTTCCTGTTTCATCGGCAGTAGTTTTCAAGCCTTCCTTCATCGGCATCGACACTAATATCTCCAACCTTATCGGCAACACCCGAGTCTAAATCAACCTTCCCATCGATCACCACCATTCATCGGCAACCATCTTTACAAGCTGATTTTCACGGCTGTCAGCGTATACAGTAACTCTCCTCCTACCGATTAGCCCACTCTGATCATTTTGACACGTGCAAAAAACGGTGTCAACAGAATACAATTTGCATACACACCTTTAGGCTCACCGATCACTGATGACCCCTTCAATCAGTCCCACATGTACCTACAACACAAGTACCCCATTATGATTTGGTCAAATAGAGAACAATTATAGCATCTGTTAACAGTGCAATATTTGTTAGCTTCAACAACCAAATAATGTCAGGTAGCTCAAACAAATACATCGCACCACACAACTTATAACGAGTTCGGGAAAACGAATACAACACATGGTTTTGGCCACGGGCCCCATTACAAGACAGAAACCTCAACATAACTAGGACAACAATGAATGTAAAGGATAAAAGACGACACTCAAATGCCACCGTTGCTTCACACCAAACTCAACATCCTAGTTGCTGAACTACTTGTTGTTCCTATTCATGTGATATGTCAGCCAAGCCATACGTTCTTCAGCTGTCAGCAGATTCTTGAACACCCGCCGGGTCACTGAGTCCTTGAACAACACCGTTGCCAAGAAGAACATATCTGAAGTGGATGGCACACCATCTTCTCGTAAAAGTTGCATAGCTTCATCAACCTCGGCCTGTTCACGGGTCCGCTCTCTATCCCATGATGTGCTCCTGGCAGCAATGCTCTTAGACAACCGGGCCATGTACTCCCCCACACTGCAATTCTTCTTCTTCTTTGGGCTATTGACAACATTGTCCATGGTGTCCCTCTTTGATCCAGAATGGTAGCTGGATGGCCCGCCTAAGTCTATTGGACGCAAAGTAGCAGGAGGCGTTGATTCACGAATACCACCAGCGGACATGAAGCAGCCCGTGTTCTAGCTACGGTCCCCAAATAGTGCCTCAAGTTGGTCCAGGAAGCGAGGTTGCCTACCACGTCGTACCTCAGGCAGACTATCATCCTACAAAAAAAAGCACAGTACATAATGTTAAACGATGTAACCAATGTAATCAGAACTGTTAACAAGATAACATACCGATGTCACGGGCTGGGAACCTGCTTGAGTTTCCCAGTACTCAGGTTCAGCTTCAATGTCACCCGTACGTGGGTCCCTCCCAAGCCCAGTGGCTGTCAGTTCATCTTTCCATGTCAGGTAGGCTTTTTTGAGGGATCCTACTTTGTTGTTGCACTGTTTCTTATCATAATGGGGGAAGTTAGTGTAAATGTTGTTCCAGCCAATCGTGGTGAGACCCTGCTGATTGAAGTTAAACTTTTCCTTCTCTTGAAGACAAAGGTCCAGCAACAACTTGGTGTCATCCTCACTCCAAGTTGCACGCTTCGGAGGCATCTGTTGGAACATGGAAGGGCTATTGTCGTTTGTGGCTGGACATAGTAATGGTACCATAAAAAAACTAAAGGAATGCACAGATGAACTAAAACACAATGCAATGGATAGAATTGTGCACTTGCCTTGATTTCTCGCTTCACGCGCTTGGAATGCAAGTTGTACCGAGTGGCTTCCGGCGGGGAGCAGGAAGCTGTTGACGATGGTGCCAGTATATAGACTTAGAAAGATCACACCTACATGATAAACATGCAAATCTGTCAGAGCTATATGTATACCAAAGTAATCCCAACTCATTGTCTAAATTCGGAATAGAAGTATGTGTACTGTACTAACAACAGATTGTAAGAGTAATAAAAGAAGTAACCTACTCACTGACATTAAAATGCATTTCATCAATGCAATGAACTAGTGTATCTATATGTAAGAGAATTTTCAAATAGAAGAGCATGTCACAACTCCAATGTAGACTTCGATATTCAAAATAAACTGATGTCATGACTGTATTTGTATAGGAAGAGCACCGTGACATCCAACAGTGGTTAATATATCGAAATTTTGAGATACGGGGAGATTTAGGCGTGAACCAAATGTAGTTACATCACAAGTATCATTAAATCACCCTAAAATTTAGTAATGTGACGAACAATAAGAAATTTGAAACAACCCAAAGAAGACCATGTGATTCATTCATTGATGCATTATTCATAAGCCGTAAGCTGAACTGCCAGAGTTACAGGCATGCAACCCATCCAACATTGGACTACATGAGAAACCAGGGGAGCCAAGGCTAAATGAAAACAGTAAAAAATAATAGAGTTTATGCTAACCCTCAATGTCACGGATGTGCAAGGATTATGTTTCCCTAACAGTCCGTCTATACTTAGCCTTCCACACCTGGGAGCAGAAACCTCAACCCTAACGAAGCGGATCTAGAAGTGTGTAGCAAAAATGGGATGAAAAAGATGGAAACATACTGAAAATGGTGTAGTAGGGAGGGCGGAAGCAGGAGAAGATGACAGATCCGGTGCCTTGGAAGGCGGCGTCCGTGGTTCCAGCTGAAATAGAAGTAGGGAAGCAAGGATTTGTAAACCATAACAGTAGGGATGGTCACCGACCAACGATTAAGGGGAAGGCATGGAGTGGACCACATACCCAAAAGGGTGGATCTCCCACCGACGGCGACGGATTGGCTGGATCTGCTTGGCAAGATGGCGACGGCGAATCGGTGACTCGGAGAAGGCGACGCCGAACCAAATCTGACGAGACGCCCCGTGTGGATGTCGCCTTCCTTCTTAGGCCCAAGAGATGGGAGGGGTTTAGGACAGAGGGCGACCAGCGGTGATGCGGGATTAATGGCGTGGGCGAAGAAGTCACCTCGGCGAGAGCTGGGAGTAGGGGAACCCTAAGCGCGCGACCGAATGCGAGACGGGAGAGAGAGTGAGGATGGCGGTAGCTGGGTCTTGTAGAGTAGCCGAACGACTGGTGTTCGCCTGGGCCACGAGGCCCAACCAGCTCCAGCCGGTTTCAGCCACAAAATTGAGCAGCCAAATAGGGCCATAGAATTCAAAGTATAGGCCTATGGCTATGAACGACCAGTAGAGACACATTTTTACTAGCAGTTAATTTAACCCTTTCTACTAATGGTTGCTTAACCTACTGCCAGTCGAGATAAGAGTTTCATTGGCGGTGGATTATGTCATCTGCTAGTGAAGTCGGTGCTCAAAAAATCAACTCCTACCACCTCTTTCAAAGTGAAAAATTTGACTCACGCTTGGTGTGTCTCTTCCACACCCTCATTCTTTCTTATTTATACCTCTCTCTCTCCAGCACTTTGGCCATGGGTGCCTTGGTTCTTCTCTGGACTTTTAGCAAAGGGAAGCAACCACGGGAGCGCTCACAGAGCGGTAGTGGCGGCAGCAACAGTAGTTCGCACCGTGAGGTTCCCTTGTGCTCCAAGCCTCCCCAATCTTATCCGCATATACACATTGTGGAAAGGTGTCGAGGTTTGTTGCCCATCTCCCTTTGCACCATCTCTCCCTTCTCCTCGACTGCCCTATGGTGGTGGGCCTTTTATGTTGAGGTCAGGTGTGTATGGTGGGGGAGGAGGGGGGCTCGAGCCCCATACAAACACTGAGCCTTGAAGCCTGGACTCCTAACCCACACAAACTCCCAAATCATCACACACAGTCACCTAGGAAGATTCCCCTCTATTAGGCACACATGACTTTCTCACACAACTAGGGTGCCTACTCAGATGCGAAGGAGAGAGCGGGGTACTTCTATAATTATGGCCTTTGGAGTTGATGGTGAGGCAATGCTGGTGTTGATGGTAGCACGTGACGTGGAGGCATCAATGGTGGTGGTCAATGGCGCAAAGACAGCCGATGCGGGGGCAAGTTGAAAGAGAAGAATTTGGATTGAATGATGTGTGGTCTTCCATATGTGCTATTGTTGGTTATGCTACCAATCTTGACATCTATGTTGTATCGCTGAACTATTAACATGATGTTGATGGTGGCAAGTGACGCATAGGCATTGATGGTGGTGGTGACGATGGCAGCCAATGACACAAAGATGGGTGATGCAAGGGCACTGACAGTGGTGGTTGATGATGCATTGATATGTGATGGAATTGAAGTGGCTAGCACGGCATCAATCAAGGTTGCCTCGATCACCGTAGTGGTGGTGCTCCTTCTCGACGTTACATGAACCTTGTGGCCCTTGCGGTGACACCGACAGAGGTACATTGTAATGACGAAGACTACTGCAAGGACAAAGGTGCTGACGCCGAAGACAATACAAAGGTGGCAAGGTTTTTGCTAGGCACCTCCCATAGCGCCATCTTTCTCCCTTCTCCTTAACTGCCCTACGTCGATGGCATTGCTGATGAGGTGTGGCATGAATGCCCCTGTGCTGATTCTTGGTCCTTTTGTAGAGGTGAACAACTGGTTGTTCGGCAATGCCGAAACAACCGTCTGCTGCAGTGCAATATCTAAGTGTTCCAATAGGATTAAACGCATGAATTTTGATCCATTGGATCACAAGACGATAACTAGGGGTGGATCCAACATTAGGGCTGGGGACTTTAGGCCCCCACCCCATGTTACCCATGGAGCCCCTCTAAATTTGTAGCCATAGATGAAGAGGAGGAAGGAGAAATAAGAACAGAAAGAGGAGTGGGAGGAAGGAGAAGATGAGACTCCCTCCCACAAGACCTTCCCCTGTCCCTACCGATAACCATATATATTGTCCTATTTCCTTGTACAATAAGCTAACCAGGTGTCATTTTGTGGAAAAGTCTATTTTACATCCTTAACTATCATAGTAACCTAATTTCTCTCCTCAAACTCTGTCCCAGATACCTTGTGCACACAAGTACTTTAGGCCAAATATTTCCCATGCAAGACCATCTTGCAAGCAACAACTAGAGGGGAGTTGTCCTACACATGGCGCAGTATTTTAAAGGGGCTCAATTTGTTAAAAGAAGGGATTATCTGGAGGATTGGTGATAGCACAATGGTCAATATTTGGACGGATCCTTGGATTCCAAGGAATGATGGAAGGCATGTCATCACTCCCCAAAGAAGTTCACTACTCCAAAGGTTACAGACCTCATCAATCTAGTGACTGGTTTGTGGGATGAACAACAACTAGTAAGAGAGAATTTTTGGGAAGAGGATGCAAATATTATCCTAGCGATGATATTATTCAAGGGCATGGATGACTGGCCAGATCCCAACGGTTTTTTCTCTCAAGTCTGCCTATGCCCTGTGAACTAGAGTTCGGGAAAATAAAAATCGTGCAGATGCATCAACTTCCAAATCTAAGACTGCCAGTTTTGAATGGAAGAAAATATGGAGAATGAATGTTGCAAATAAGGTGAAAGTTTTTATCTGGCAATTGTCACACAACTCACTATAGGTCAAACAAAACATCATGAGGCGAGGAATTGAGTTGGATACTATATGCCCCATGTGCCATAGATTTGATGAAGATGTTGATCATCTCTTTATTAAATGTAAGAATATGCGTCTGGTGTTGGCTGCTTCTAAACCTAGAGGAGGTTAGGCTTTGTGTGGTTCCACTGAAATTTGGAGGTTGAAGGGATATGTTGGACAAGATTTGGAGCCTCCCTGAAGACGTGCAACAAAAGATTATCTTCTTTGGTGTTGGTGGTTAGTCAGGAATAAAACCAATAATGGAGAAAGAAGTAAGAGCCCTCAAGAAGTGGTCAGTGATGTGATTTTTCATATGAATGCTTGGAACCTTGCCCACAATAGTAAGAAACAACTCAGGAGGCAACAAGTGAGATAAAACTGGAAGGCGCCACCTGAAGATTATTACAAAAATCAATTGTGATGTTGCGTTCATTCCTGAGGCCTACAAAGGAGGATGGGGCTTCATTATTTGTGATCATCTTGGGCGGGTTGTTGTGGCGGCAGCAGGAGCCTCTGTTGAGTTCCCAACATGCTGAGGCCTTGGCCTGCTTGAAGGGTTTGGAGCAAGCTACAACAATGGGAATGGAGAATGTAATATTGGAGACATATGTTACCATTGTTGCCAATGGAATTGGGGGGATTACTTAGATAGATCGGTTCTAAGTACTTTGTTTAGAGAGATTGGAGCAAACTTGTTATGCGATTTTTGTTAGATGTTCTATCTCTCGGTGCCCAAGGAATGTAATTCAGTAGCACATTCATTTGCAGCCCCCGGGTATGAAGTATGAACTATAGTGCTAGTTCTTTGTTCTGGATGGACCAGACCATGTAGCTCTTCTTATGTACGGTGATTTGTATGGACACTGTGTGTAATAGAAGTCTTCTTCCAAAAAAACTCTGAATCAGACATCTTACCCCGTAAACTCTCAATACGTTCAAACTATCTCCCAGTCTTGGTTTGAAGTGGTTTTGATGGCGCTTTTATTCCTTTTTCAGTTAAAAAATCGATAATGATATAGACCGGGCAGCCGGACGCACCGTTCCACACCGCGCTCCCCCGCACTCGTTGTACCCCCGCTCCGCCCGCTCCCCTGTACTCGCTCTCCCCCCCTTCCCCCCCGCTCCGCCCTCCCACTCTCTAAGTCATCCCCGGGATACACTTGGTGGTTGGCACATTTGAGCAAGGGTTAGAAACATCACCGGCGCCCTATACAGAAAAGACGAAGGTCACTGTAAGTGACCGGACGCTGATCTCAGTTGGACCGGCGTGTCCGGTCAGTGGCAGCAGAGGGCGCGTGTTTCGGTCTTCGACCGGACACTGGCGCTAAAAGTGATCGGACGCTGGCAGGGTGCGTCCGGTCAGTGCTGACGTACGCTGACGTGGGACGCACAGAGGAGATATTGAGTGACCAGACGCTGGGTGTGTCTGGTCGAGCATGACCGGACGCATCCGGTCGTGAAATCTCGCGTTTGGAACCTTACTGGAAACGACCGGACGCTGAGGTCCAGCCCGCCCGTGCTTCCTCCCCTCCCGCATGTGCTTCCTCCCCTCCCTCCGTCCCTTGCCCCTTTACGACCTCCATGCAACCCCACGCTCCCCAGCAACCCGGCTCCTGCACCCACCAGGAGACGAGGACGGTGGCGGCGGCTCCGACAAGGTAGGTCGGTCCTTCTCTGGATCTGAGCCCTCCTCCTCCTCGTCGTCCTCTGGATCTGAGCGCTCGTCCTCATCGTCCTCTGGATCTAAGTCCTCCTCCTCCTCCTCTGGATTTGAGGGATGCGGCGGTGGCTAGGGTTCCGACGAGCTCTGGGGTCCTATTCCCTCCTCCCTCCGGTGAGCTCGAGGTGATGGGTCAGGGGCTGTTTTTGTACGCTTTTTTGTTGTTTCTCTCGTGTTGCAATGGGTTTTTTGGATGTTGCAACAGATGATTTTTGAATATTGCAATAGGATTTTTGGGTCGTTGCAACATATGTTTTTGCGTTGTTGCAGTACTACTGCTGTATATAATTTTTTATGTTGCAGCATATAATTTTCGATGTTGCAGCACATAATTTTTCGATGTTGCAGTACATGTTTTTCGATATTGCAGTATATATTTTTTCGATGTTGCAGTACATATTTTTTGTTGTTGCAATACATATTTTTCGATGTTGTAGTACATGTTTTTTAATGTTGCACTATATATTCTTCGATGTTGCAGTATTTATATCCCGATGTTACACTACATAGTTTTTACATATGTTTGCAATGTTGCACTTAAAGTGTTTCGTGCTCTTTTTTAGATAGGGACACGGTGGGTGAACGGGGTGCGTTGGGAACAGGGGGACAGGGCGCGATGGGGAGCGGAGGACAGGGACAGGTTCGTTCTATACGCGGGGACGGGCGGGTTCCGTTCTATTTCCACGCATGAGGGCGGGCAGGTTTGGGAAGGGGCCCGGCATCCGGACGCACTCGCGCGCCGGACGTCCGGGCTCTAGAATCAGGTGAATACTCTATAAGTTTATTAAACCACAAAAAAGCCTCTAAGATTCTAAAAATTTCAAAAACAAATATGAAGATGGATTGAGATATGATAAATCCAAATAAAATATGTATAACTCGTGAAAATATCTACTCCTATAAGTTATAAAAAAGCAAACTAGTTTCTTCGGAGGAACTACGACCTTTTCACTATGATGAAAACCTCAAGGCTCAAAGCAGCTAGCAGCTCAGACTGTCTGAGCAGTACGGATGACGTGAGAATCCACACGCTTCAGCCTCATCACAGACTCCACGCTAGCTCTCAGTGCATGCTTCTCTCCCAACCTGCAAACAAATTCCTCCGGATTCTCATTCAGTTTCCTGCCTTGTCACTGCCCCAGCATGAAAATCGTATCTCCCATCCCAATCGGTCAATCCCCGCGGCTCTTTTACCTGGCTATCTCGGCGCGCCACCTCGCCTGATCTGAGATCCTAGTCCTAGAAGATGGTGTTGAGCTGCTGAGGAGATGATCAGAGAAAGCCCTCCGCTGAACATCTCTCTGGGAAAGCACCCACCTGGCGTCCCGATCCTCCTTCCAGATGTCGTTCTTCCTTGTGAATGCAGTCTGAACCATGAACAGTGCAGCCATGAACGATTTTCTGATTTCTGAACGAGGGGAGCAAGAAGAACGATTGTGCAGTGCGGTACCTTCCTGTCGAACAGCAAGTTCCATGCTTTACCACTGAGGATGTACCGGACGGCAATCTTGATCAGATCAAGTGGCACATAGAACACCAGACTGTATAGCCATATGGCGCCGGCCCAGCGCCATCCTATGGCGCTGATCGATGCGAAGCTGATTGTCGCGTAGACGGCGACAAGGGTGGCCACCTGCATATCAAGAACTTGAGTGACAAGCAGCATTTCACTGAATCTTTTATTTGAAGGCGTTTGAAATGACATGAATTAATAGTCTTCTTCTCCAGAGGTTCAGAGAATTACCAGTTGTGCTACGACGAAAGCACAGATCAACAGAGCTCCAGGCCTTTCGAGGAAAGACAAGCCACGGCTGCGTGTGACGAAGATCAGAGCCTGGCTGATGATGCTGATCTGCAGGTACATCGCGGACGAGATCTTCTGGACGTCTTCCTTGAGAGGTCTCACCTTGAAATGAGACTGCAAATGAGAGAGAGAGAGAGATCTTCAGTCGATTGGTGTGCCTATAATACATCTTCAGCTCTGGCCTCTGGATGTTGGTACCTCAAAGAATGCGGTCCTTGTAACTGCCCAGTAGAAGAGCACCGTGACCAATGCTAGGTAGGTTCCCATGACGACGCCAGTTGCAAATATCTCGTTCAGCTTCCACCTATCCGGCCTCTGCGATGGTTTCACACGATCCTTCGATATCGTCATGATGGTCCCTGATCAGAGAACATTCCAAATCCATCAACCTCATGTAGCAGTCATGCAGTCATTTTGAGAAGAGATGACTGATTCAGAGATGCATCACCGTCATTCAGTATGGCTATGATCAGAACCATAAACGGAGGGAAGTCGTACTCCCATATTGATGCCAAGAGAACAAATCCTAGCTGCTTGCACAGGGGTCAGAGTTGCAAATTGCAATGGAAGAGTTGAGTATCACCAGTTCATATATATGATTCTTACCACTATCCGTATGGTGATGGACACAGCGTAAACCTGCAGGGATGAAACAGGTTAACGCGCGCCAGTTTTACCACTGAATTTTTCTGTCTCGTGCGCAAGGCCAGGCCACTGAATGAAAGGGGAACCGGACCGTGTAGTTCTTCATGCGCTGGAAGATGGCACGGCTGGTGAGGACGGCGCTGACGATCACGCTGAGGCCGGGCTCCGTGAGCACGATGTCGGCCGCGCCCCTCGCGGCGTCCGTGGCGTCGGACACCGCGATGCCGATGTTCGCCTTCTTCAGAGCCGGTGCGTCGTTCACGCCGTCGCCCGTCATCCCACACACGTGGCCGTTCGCCTGCAGGATCCTCACGATCTCGTACTTGTGCTCCGGGAACACGCCGGCGAACCCGTCAGCCTTCTCGACGAGCTCCTCGACGGAGACTACCGTCGCGGCGCTTTCGCCGTCGCGCTCGCGCCGGCCGAACAGTGACGCCGACGGGTGCATGTTCGTGCCCATCCCCAGGCGCCGGCCGGTCTCCTTTGCAATGGCCAGGTGATCACCTGCACAGACGGACGGAGCTGCCGCTCAGGTGATCACGCTACAGAAACTAGCAGAGAACAAAGTTCATGGCCATGTGCATGCACACCGGTGATCATCTTCACGCAGATGCCAAGATCGAGCGCTCTGAGGATGGTTTCGGCGCTGTCGTGCCGCGGCGGATCGAACAACGGCAGAAGACCGCATAGGATCCATGGCCCACCGGGGCTGTGCCTTGATCTTTCTGGTATCTCCTGAGACAAGTCACAGAGTGATTGTTAGGAAGTAGCAACTGATACTTCAGTGTTCAATTTTCAGGGATGACCAACAAAATCTGCTAGCTTGAATTCCATGTGGTACCTGGTAAGAAACTGCAAGTGAACGGAGGCCCCTCTCGGCAAACCTGTCGACTACAATCTGCACCTTTTCAGCAATGTCATCTTTGTTGTAGCACAAATTCAAGATCTGAAGATGAACAGCATCAGAAGTTGAGATAACTGAAGGGTAGCATTTAAAGGAGCTCTGAGTCTTGACAGACCCGTATAAACAACTGTATGAAGGTTTGGGGTAAATGCACTGGGATACAGTGCAGAGTTGCAACAGGAGTACCTGATCTGGAGCACCTTTGCTAACCCGGAACCAATTGCCGTTGGAATCAAGGTATGTTATAGCTGTTCTCTTATCGACAGGATTGAACGGGAAAAAGTGAACTTCAGTGATGTTGGCGCGTGCCTGACAAGGCCAGAATAGTAGATAAGATAGGACCCCGTCATTCAGGGAAGAAAAGGAACAGATATCATCCATGAACCATTGCAAACGTGCTTAGAAATTCAGAACCTCTTTGGGGTCAGCTAGCATGTTAATGATGGCCATATCAATCGCATCTTGATTTTCCACTCTTGAGGCTCTTGCAGCTAAAAGAATTACCATGTCCTTTTCCATTTCTCTGCTGAACACCTGAAGTTAACGAATGATGAATCAGCTTAGCTAATTATCACCTAAGCAAATACACTGTACCTTTTTATTTTATCATAGAAGTTACCTCGATTAGGTTTTTGTCGACTGTAAGATGGTTGAGAGTAAGAGTTCCAGTTTTGTCGCAGCACAGAACATCCATTCCTGCCATTTCCTCAATGGCTGTCATCCTTTTAGTGATAGCACCCTGCAAAATGGTACAACAAACTTAAGGACAAATGATGCATTAGCAACTAAGTATTATCTGAAGAAAGATGACAGCAATGCCCCAAGAACACCTGCTGAGATAAATGATGAGAACCTATTGCAAGAGTGACTGACAGAACGGTCGGCATCGCGATAGGTATCCCACCGATCAGAAGAACGAGCACATTGTTGATTCCATTTCTGTATGATCGGTGCTGTACTGGGAACATCATAATAACCTCAAGAATTACCCCTACCACAATCGAGCATATACAGAAATTCCCTATACAGGTTAGAACCTGAAATTTTAGTTGTAGGATTAGGTTAAACCACAGGCATCCATGGGCAACTAGAGCTTCAATGCCCTAGATCATATTGTGAAGATCTGACAATTCACCTTATGCAAATGACCAACAACATCTGTGGAGTCCACCAAATGAGCCGCCTTTCCAAAGAAAGAGTGGATGCCGGTTGCAATGATAACAGCTTCAATTTCTCCATGTTTGCAGATTGAACCGGTAAACACTAGATCACCGGTCCTTTTGGTTACCGGAAGGGATTCCCCAGTTAGAGCTGACTGCATTGTGGAAGGAAAACCACTTGGGCAGATCAATCAAGCTGACATGTTGACCCAGCAAACATACCAGCAGCTCCAGCCTTACTGCTATATGGAAACACTAGCTGCTAACGTGAATTGTGTAATTACCTGATCAACTTTCACAGGATCTCCCTCTAGCAGGCGTGCATCCGCTGGAATGATATCACCAAGCCTGATGCTGACAATATCTCCTGGTACCAAGATAGAAGCATCCAGCTCCTGCCATTGCCCATCTCTGAAAACCTGAAGATCACACCCATGTTTGAACACAGCAAGACCGGACTGAAATACTACAGTTTTTGTTTATATACAAACCTTTGTTTTCAGTGCCAAGCGAGACATGAGAGCTGCAGCGGCGTTACCGGCATTATTTTCCTCAATGAAGCTGATGATTGAGTTGATAACCAGAAGACAGACGATTCCAAGAAAATCCTCCCAGTCAGGACCCTGACTCTGAACAAAGAGGTAGATGAAGATACTGAAGTTTTACATCATGTGGCCGATACTAAAACTAGTATGTCAGATAACATTTTTTCAAGACTTGTCGGGGGTAAACCAGAAGTCAAAGACCAGATTTTAGAACGTCAGAGAACTTACGCCGCCATTCGCAAAGACCAATGCCATGACTGCTGCTGCCTCCATCACCCAGGACAACGGGTTCCACATGAAGCTGAGGAATTTCAGGACCTTGTTCTCCTGCCATAGAACATACATAAAAGGAAAAGGGATCACGGAAAAACATATAATAGGAATTCAGGATGCAAATAATGGGGATCCAAAATGGTGAACTCACACGCTTCTCTTGTAATCTGTTCGCACCAAACAGCTGCAGGCGTTCTGCAGCGCCAGACGACGAAAGCCCGCCGCGGGATGTGTTGAGCTGCTCGAAAACCTCTTCCAGGGGCAGACTTTCCTGTATCCGCACAGGCACAATGCATGCATGAGAATCCAATCCAAGGAATATAATTTTTGCAGTGTCGTAGCCGGTGCACAGTGCACTTACCAAATCAACCTCATTGCTGCTGAATTTCTCAAACCCAAGCAGAGGACTGCCAAGTTCATGAACCACAGCCATCGTGGTCTCTGCACATCATCATGCAGAACATGGCAGACTGTTCATGTAACCGAAGTACACCTTGAAACTGAAGACCGGAAAATGCATGTGGTCTGTGGTGATGGATCAAAGAACTCACCGTTCACGAATATGATGATGTTCAGCCAGTTCAGAGCGCTGGCACAGTGATTCTTCTTGAGGCTTTGAGAGCGAGTGAAGATAATAAGGGAGCTGGCACGGTGGCAGATGGGCTCCTAATCCTCATTCAACCCGCCATTTCGGCTGCTGCAATCCAACCACCGTTCAAACTTCCCCGGCAGGCTGCTGGCTGTCAGTTCAAACCAAACGGTCTCACTCGCCCTTCCTGTCGCGTGAATTCTGCATGAAGGATGGGGTGTCCAGGGTGTGGTGGTACGTGCCTACATGCAAATAACTACTCCGTACGTATCTGTTCTGTTGACAGCAGCGGCGGAGCGTGGGGATTAAATAAGGAGGGGCCAAATTGGTTAGTAGAAACTAATGTATAGAAAATTTTTGCTGCTTCGGTCTAGTTTTCTCATTATCTTCTCTTCCTAAAAATGGAAAAGCCAAGAAAATATTAGAGCAACTCCAGCAGTTTGGCTAAAACTAGTAGTTAAATTTCATTGTTTAGCAATTTAGTAAAATAGAAAACTTAAAAAAAAGAGGGCCACAGCAGCCTTGCTATTTTACAAAGTCAAATAACGAGCGTCCGTGATTGGCTTTATATGGCACCAAAAATCAAGGGATACCCAACTTCCTATTTTACAATGTCAAATTCTAAAATAACCTCCACAGCAAGAATAGCTCTTAACATTCTATCAAGTATCAACCTTTTTTCTCTTTAATTAAGATATAGAATAAGTACATGGTATAGAAGTATAGCCAGAGAGGAGGGGAGCATGAGTGGGCCACGTGCCCCCGCTCCTTGTGTAATGGGTCCGCCCCTGGGTGTCCGGCGAAGCGTTGGCAGTGGCTGGTGCCAAGTCGATCGTGTGGCCGTGGGCGCCAAGTCGATCGCTGTGATCGTGGATGCCGCGTCAGTAAGCAGCTAGGACAACTGTCGCTACGAAGGCGGCAGCGGCTAAGCCAATGCCGACCTTGTCACCGGTCCACAGGTGACGAGGTGGCTCAGAGCTGCCCATTTCCTTTTCCCTCGACTTCTCTATGGCAGCGGACTGGCGGTGGATACTGGATTCTTGTTATCAGTGCAAGGGCGTCCGCACCCTTCTTTTATAGGGGCGGGCGGGCGGCCAACAACGGGGAAAATGAAGAAGACTGATAGGAATCTGACAAGAGCTGGAGAAGCCGTGAGCGTAAGTGGCTAGGTGGGCTCGACTTCGGATACCGGTCGACAGGTGACGAGGCTTGCGCCATATTGAATAGGCTGCTTTAAGATGTGTGCAGTTTTTAGAAAGAGGAGTATCGGATCCGTTCTCTACATATTTTCATGCTCTTAACAATATTTTTTACTTCATTTTGTTAACCAATTCCTATACACAATAAACAAGATGTTTTATTTATCCTTTGACAGGGGAATCGAGTTCTGGACACACTGCCCGGTTGGATAGATGAGAGACACATAACCTTCTTTTGCCGATCAACTATACAATCATGGAAACCATCCACACAATGAAATACATATGCGCCAACGGTGGACCAGAGGACCACACATGATCACCTAGGTAGACGTAGATCCCCTACCATAGAAACTTGTCCCCCTCGCACCCGCAGTGAAACTGCTGGGATGTGAAGCGGAGAGTGTGGAGTGGCGGCCTATTACTGATGGACCTCTATAGCTATACAAAAATGTATATTTTTTTAGAAACCCAGATTTTGAGTGGGGCACGTGCCCCCACTCCTTGTGTACTAGGTCTCCCCTGGGTGTTTGGCGAAGCGGCGACATTGGCGTTTTGGCAGTGGCTGGTGGCGGGATGGCGTTGGCGGTGCCGTCACCAGTGACGTGGGCGCCATTGGTGGTGATGCTCCTCACCGGTATTGCACGACGACGGCACAGACAACAACAACGATGGCTACAACTACAAAGGCGGCCACGCCATCTAATGAACGGAGGGTCGGTTCGTGGTTGTCCGCTAAGCGGGTTTCAGGCTCAATTGATCCTGAGTAAGTGACTAGCACAATTTTGGGTAAGGCAATGGGGCTATGCTTTTTGTTGAGTCCACTCTTATAGACCTACTAGGCTTCCTTTTTATATTGTCGGAGAAACAAGAGATCGATAGTGAGGGGGTGGCTGGGGAAAGTAAATTCTGGCCTTGAGCGTATGTGCAATCCTGATGCACACAACTGGATGTGCATCACACGCACAACATGGGAGCACATGTCATTAAAGGCAAAAAAACTACGTTCGGGGAAGCAGCGGTATCAAAGTCACAAAAGTTACCGATACGGAGGTATGTGAAACGGGTACGTGGAACGTGGATCGACAATTTTAAGATCCCAATTCGTTAGGGGTTATACCTCTTCGAGACAATTGACACATGAAGGGAACACGATCCCTAAATATTTGGAACGACACGTGTGTAACATTTAGCTATGAAAAGACAATTGTAGTTTCAAGATACTTGAATCGATAAGTCTTTTCAAACACTATAAAATAATTTATAAATTATTAATAGTAGATGCAAGACGATTATGGATATAAATATTTATTATATAAATTTTAGACTGTATATATAGATATTAAAAAACAAAGGATCCATACTCTTATTGTAAAAAAATGAATCCAATCTCAGGAGCGTTTGGGCGACAGGCCCATATGACTAAGGCACTAGTTCATGACCAAAATATGCCATGCTTCAGATTAGTCATGCCATAGTTTTTCTAGCAGCTGTTTGTTCGCTGTCACAACTACGATGTGCCACACTTTCTTAGCACCATGTCTACGCGTTATAGACTTTTTTTTTTCAAACTTTGTCATAAGTGTGGCGTCAATTTTACTCGCCAAACTTTCTCTGGCAGCCACATCTTGCCGAAGGTTTGACGCAAACTGCGGCACCAACCAAACAGGAAAAAAAAACTGTCCAACCTCATGTCCTCATGTTGGCAACGTGCCAACGTCGCACGCGCCGCCGCCGGCCTCTAGCACCCGGCCCCTGCGTCGCGCCGCCGCTAGTGCCCGGTCGGCCAGCACCAGCGCCACGTTACCGGCTTGCCGCCAGTGCCTAGCCCCAGCGCCACCGTTCTCTGCAGCTCCTCTGCGTCGTCGCCGGTTGCCAACCGCCGTCTTTATCCTCGTCGATGACCCGGTGCGCTTTGGATCGCGTCCCACGTAGCTATCAGTCGCTCGTACCGTTTCGTCCCCCGGCTGCAACCCGCGTTCGGTGTGACTGTGAGCCACACCGAATGCGGAGGTCGCCTCTCCTCGAGTCCTCTCCTCATCGCACACGTACGCACCCAATTCCTCGCAACTGGGCTCCCCCGCCTCCACGACACTGCCCCTGCATCAGTCCGCCTCCTCCCTTCCTCCTCTCCAGCTCTCCTCTCCTCCGGTGAGTAGCCCCCCTCCGCTTCTCTCTCTCTCGCCAACCGGAGTCCCTTGCTGCTTCACACTGTGTTCTTGTTTAATCACGCGGGCAGCGCACGATCCGGTTCCGTATGGGGGATGGGGGCATGGGGCGTCTAGCGCCGTGCACGGTGACTCTTCTCATTTACTAGTAAACTGGCAGTGGAAATGGGGGATTTCTTGGAGCTTTTAGGCTTCGAAGGCATCGGATATTTCTAATTGGCCTGAGACTGGCTTGGAGCAGTCTGCGATTATTGGGCGCAGTGGTATGATAGAAACTGTGGCGTAGGGGCTGGACGAGATAGTACAGAGTGTAGAGCCTAGAAGGGAGATGCCTCTTGTTTAATTTGAGATGGTGGTGCTAGGATAATCGAAATTGTCTAGAACGAGGTCCGGGTCATGCCATTTTTTTTTCTGCCTCATTAATCCATCAATTGTTCTCAGCATCGAATAACTTCATTAGTAGTATTTAGCAACCTGGATCAATTTACTCACGATACTCTGCAGGGCTATATATACGAGAAATGGCTTCATGAACTATGGGTCTAATGGCTCCTCTTGAATTTGCAGTAGTCTGTCTGTGCCTATTGGCTGAAGCGGAGCTGACCCCACTTTATCAAGAGATGCTTCAACGTGGACACTGGCTGCCAGTCATGTATGAACATTACTGGAGCTAGCCAAGCAAGACCTTTTGCGGGACAACTTCCTCCTCAGAGAGGTTTTGCGAGTAGTCACCATGCGAGCTTTGCCGTGAAAATTCTTGTCTTAAAGAGTAAAGGAAGGAGATCACACCGTAGACATGCTGCCTTGCAGGTCCATCTTTTTGTTTTTCACTTTTTCCATGTTTTCACTGTGTTTCCTGTGAAATCATAATTGATTGCCTTTTTCTGCAGGTTGTCTGTAAGGATTTTCCAAGACCTCCACTAGAAAGCACAATAAAACTATTTGGAAACTGGGCAGCTCTCTTAGTTTTTTAGAAACAGCGAACGCCCCAGAAAACCGTTGCAGGTCGTGATTGCTGGTGCAGGTCTGATGTAGTTCATGATTAATGTTTTTCACAGATGTTATTTTCCTTTGTGAGTTGGGGAGCTTTGAGGGAAACTCTAATTGGCTGTTTGCTTTATTAATTTCTGATGTTGCTTTTGCAGGATTGGCTGGTTTATCAACGGCGAATTATCTGGCAGATGCTGGCCATAAACCCATATTGGAGAAGGGCAGGCCTGGTGCAGTGGTGAGAGCTGTCTCACTGAGTCACCAGGTCGTGGGTTCAAAGCAGCCTCTCCGTAGATTTGCGGGGGAAGGCTTGCCTCGGTTTTTCCCTTCCCCAGACCCCACTCATGTGGGAGCCTCCGGCACTGGGTCTGCCCTGCCCAAGAGATGGTTTGGGAGGAAAGGTCTGATAGATACTTGCATGGCTGTTTACCACTCTCTGAATTGCTCTCATTCACTGTTTTCATCATTTGTTCCTTTATGATATTTTTATGCATTGATAGGTAGCTGCTTGAAGGATGAAGATGGAGATTGGTACGAGACTGGGCTTCATATCTTTTGTAAGTTACAGTTCAGGTCCTCGAGGTTCTCTTCATGATATTTGATGTTCTTGATTCTTTCTATTAGAAAAAATACAGTTAATATGATGGTTTCTACACATATTAACAAACTGTTGAGGCACACCATCACACAAACGTCTAAAACACTCTTTCCTTGTATCATGCTTTTTTATTTTTCCTAATGTCATGGGAGTTTCTTTCAAGGACAATTTGTAAATATCTGTGCAAAATCATTATTGAGAAAGGAATTTGTTAAGTTACTAGTAGTGGCAAAATAACCTGAAAAGTTTGAAGACTACTAAAACATACAGCAGCACATGTTTCAATGTTACATAAACCATGTTGACCCATAGACCATTGTATCCATAATGGGCAGCCCCAGTGCACGAAGCTCCCGCTTGCGCAGGGTCCGGGGAAGGGTCCGACCACTTGGGTCTTTTGTACGCAGCCTTTCCTTGCATTTCTGCAAGAGGCTCTTTCCAGGACTTGAACCCGTGACCTCATGGTCACAAGGCAGCAGCTTTACCACTGCGCCAAGGCTCCCCTTCATTGTATCCATAATGCCATAGTCAAATAGACGTTCTTCTGTTCACATGAGCACTGGATTGCTACCATTCCCTTCCTAGCATATATGCCACTTATTATGTTCGTGTATGTAACCATGTATTTTGGATTTTTGGTTTAAGTTGGAGCTTATCTCAACATACAGAATCTGTTTGGCGAGCTTGGGATTGAGGGTCGTTTGCAGTGGAAAGAACACTCCATGATATTCGCCATGCCAAACAAGCCAGGAGAATTCAGCCGGTTTGATTTCCCAGAAACTTTGCGAGCACCTGTAAACGGTAAGATTATACGTAACGTTGGAGTTATTGCAACAGGTTCTCTCATTTTGCTAATATATGGACACTATTAGGGGCTTTATTAGTGGCAATAATAACATTTATCATTACCATTTACCATAACTCTGCTAATTGATGCCATACTATGATTCACTATAACACTATTGTACTTTTAACAGGGATATGGGGCCATACTGAGAAACAATGAAATGCTTACCTGGCCGGAGAAGGTGAAGTTTGCATTTGGACTTCTGCCAGCAATGGTTGGCGGTCAACCTTATGTTGAAGCTCAAGATGGCTTAACCATTTCAGAATGGATGAAAAAGCAGGTACGAGTTAAATGTGCTGATTATACTAGTTTCTGTGTAGAAGACATTTTGCCATCTCATCAACATTAGAGAGCTTGTAGTTTGCCAGTTATTTTCCTTTCTTGTCATATCTTCTGGAAGGAGCATAGTTAGATCCATAAACGAGAATGCTTCATATGCTCAAGTTCTTATCTTATATTTCGTTGTAAACCATTTCTGTACAAAGTTAGGCTGAGCAATGCAATGCTTATATTTGCATTTTCCAAGTCCAGCAATTTTCATCCCTTTAGGTCCAGCAGTGTAGCAGAAATGAAAAAAAAATGCAAAGGTGTTTTTGGGGTACTAACTGGTATACACACACAGTGTTCCTCAGATTTGGTTTTACTTTTGCCATTTGGAATAAAGATGGTAATATATCCTTCTATTGTTTATGAAGCCATGTGGTGCCTGATACAATTATTTGATCAGCACAGGGTGTTCCTGATCGGGTGAATGACGAGGTTTTTATTGCAATGTCCAAAGCACTCAATTTCATAAATCCTGATGAGCTATCTATGCAGTGCATTTTGATTGCTTTGAATCGATTTCTTCAGGTATAGCTGTTGTTGCTCTATTAAATTGTGCAATATATTACTTGCCTGTTCTGTTTGGAGAAATAGCTTACATATGTTGATTCTTATTTTCTTGTCTATATTCTTTGTTTTTACTTGAGAAAATGCTAATATGTACTTGCAAAGTTAAGATACCTTGTGGGTCTTTTGAAAAGATTACTTTGTGTAAATGCGCAGGAGAAGCATGGTTCCAAAATGGCATTCGTGGATGGTAATCTGCCTGAAAGGCTATGCATGCCTATTGTTGATCACATTCGGTCTAGGGGTGGAGAGGTCCGCCTGAATTCTCGTATTAAAAAGAGAGCTGAATCCTGATGGAACTGTAAAACACTTCGCACTTAGCGATGGAACTCAAATAACTGGAGATGCTTATGTTTGAGCAACACCAGGTGTGATTTGTTTCCAATAAACCTTGTTTCCTGTGCAGCTATTCAATTTAACTGACTAGTCTTTGTATTTAGTTGATACTCCCTCCATCCATGAAAGGATGCAACTATGGGTTGCGTGCCACTAAAAGTAGTTCACGTTTGACCAAGTTTATGGTAAATAGTATTTGTATTTATGGCTCCAAATCAATTTATTATAAAAATACATTTCATAATTAATCTAATGATATTTATTTGATATAGTACGACAACAACAACAACATTGCCTTTCAGTCCCAAGCAAGTTGGGGTAGGCTAGAGTTGAAACCCACCAAGAGCCCCAAGTCACGGTTCAGGCACTTTAATAGCTGTTTTTCAAGTACTCCTATTCAAACATAGATCTCTAGGTATATCCCAAGCTTTCAAATCTCTTTTTATTGCCTCCCCCTATGTCAATTTCGGTCTTCCTCTACCTCTCCTCATATTATTAGCTTGGCTTAGGACTCCACAATGCACTGGTGCCTCTGGAGGTCTCCTTTGGACATGGTCAAACCACCTCAACCGATGTTGGACAAGCTTTTCTTCAATTGGTGCTACCTCTAGGCGATCACGTATATCATCGTTCCGAACTCGGTCCATTCTTGTGTGACTGCAAATCCATCGCAACATACGCATTTCTGCAACACTCAGTTGTTGAACATGTCGAATCTTTGTAGGCCAACATTCTGCTCCATACAACATAGCCGGTCTAATCGCCGTTCTATAGAACTTGCCTTTTAGCTTTTGTGGTACCCTCTTGTCACAGAGAATGCTAGAAGCTTGTCGCCACTTGATCCCCCCTGTTTTGATTCTATGGCTAACGTCCGCATCAATATTTCTTTATTTGATATAGTAAACATTAATATTTATTTATCTATAATTGGTCAAACTCGAGATACTAAAACGTGATACTGTGCTAGAATTGCATTCTTTCTTGGACGGAGGGAGTACCTTCAAGCTTCTTGTACATCAAGAGTGGAGTGAAATTACTTATTGCAAGAAGCTGGAGAAGTCGGTGGGAGTTCCTGTTATCAATGTTCATATATGGTTAGTTGATTGAAACATTTGGTTCTGAATTGGGAATGACTTGATTCCTTTGTCTGGTTATGCTTGTTCCTTGAGACATTTCTGAAGCTTTGCTGAGAGTTTCTGTTGTTTTGAATACCTCAGGTTCGACAGAAAACTGAAAAACACATATGACCACCTTCTTTTCAGCAGGTACCTCTCCTGGCTGTAGTTAATGCATTTTTTGTGCAGTAAATTTTGATTACGATTATTTATCAAGATATTTATGTGCTATTATGGTTGAATGTCCATGTTCAGTATTAAATACCATATGTTTTGTTTGTTTTCTTTTCATTCAGGAGTTCACAAGTGTCTATGCAGACATGTCAGTAACCTGAGGTACAAACTTGAGGAGCTTATCATCACTCCACAATCATTAGCATACTATATCTTCACTATTTCTAGGGCCTCAGCGACCTTCACAAACATACAATATCCACCTTATTTTTACTTTATTAACTACAACAAAAGACATGCAATATCCACCTGAATTTTACTTTATTAACTACATTAAAAAGGTCCTACGGCTTATGCCATTTAGAAGGAATTCATTATTAAGTGGAAATATAAATATCTTGCGCATTATGAATTTTAGTCATGTGCGCACATAGATGTATTAAAGTGTAGTACTTTAATAATTGGTGAACATCACTGGACACTATGTTGTAGTTATGGATCACGATAGCAAATGACACGGATGCACACTCACCTGTTTCTTTCCTTCTTTTTTTCCAATTCTTCATAGGAATACTATGATCCAAACCGTTCAAAGTTGGTCTTTGCTCCTGCAGACGAATGGATTGGTCGAAGTAACACTGAAATCATCGATGCACTATGGAAGAGCTAGCCAAGTTATTTCCTGATGAAATTGCTGCTGATCAGAGTAAAGCAAAGATTCTTAAGTATCATGTTGTGAAGACACCGAGGTGAGGATATTTGCCAAAGACCCTTCCTGATACATAATCATAAGTAGCTCTAGCTCTGATTGTTTTATGTGTTGTTTTCTAACATTTGTATTCTGGCTTGCTTTGACAGATCGGTTTACAAAAATGTCCCAAATTGTGAACCTTACCGACCTCTCCAAAGGTCACCGATCGAAGGTTTCTATCTGGTTGGTGATTACACAAAGCAGAAATACCTGGCTTCCATGGAAGGTGCAGTTTTATCTGGGAAGCTTTGCGTGGTGGCTATAGCGGGCTATAGCAGGTAAATACTGACCATGGTCCTGGTTGTACATAAAAGCATCAGATTGCTGTGTTGTTGGATTCATTTCAGTATGATGCGTGTTTTGCATCTAATGAATTATAACATTTACTGCTTTCAGGATTATAGCAGGCTCGCTCTCAGGAGCCAGAAAAGCCTACAATCGGAAGTTCCCGTACCGTCTTAGTTGTAGTTAGTTTAGCTATCGTCATCCCCACTGGGTGCCATCTTATCGCCTATTTCATGGGAACCCACTAAATGGTCATGTTGGAGACACCTGTTATGGTCCTTTGACAATTCTTTAGAGTTGAATTGTGACTGTAGTAGATATCATATTCGGAAAAAGCGATATATATGTAAAAGGACCTGCACAGCAATCGTTAGACCTTTGGGAAAGCAAAAGCGATAAAGAGATCTCAGATAGATATTGTGTTGTAGGCTTGTAGCACTTTCAGATGGTGGTTCCTATCAATCGGTTAATCCATCCCACATGGGAAGAATTGTCCATTGTGTTTGAGGTAAGCTTAGTCAGCAAACCTTAGGTGGTCCCTGCTCCCTGAACTTTATCAGGAGAGCTTCTGTAGCAGTCACTGAACATAGACAATCCCGAAGCCGTGTGCTGTTTACCTGTTCGCATCGTTTCTGTGGCTTATAAGCCGGCTGATGCTGTTTTGTTGTGAGAGAACAAACTGTATCATGGCTGAGCGAACAGGGTGATACAGTATATCTTGTTGGGCATACTATATTTGCCAAGTTGCAGTTATTAAGCACATGGAGGTGCGGAATGGACTTTGGCCGTCAAGATATTTTTGCTCAGATTCCTAGCGTCTCAATAATTGTCCTTTTGAACCCAGATATTATCACTGGTCACATTTCTCTTATTTGTTTGTACCCGACTATATAGGAGTGTTTATTATCTGGCAACTGGCATCCAGCAGGCTGGATGTGTGTGTGCTTCTGATGTTACATCTACCTGAATGAAGTGGTGTAACTGGACCAAGAAAGCATCAGAACAATATACCTTTTCTTGTTAGATTTGTATTGCTAAAGAATCATTTGTTGACTGCTTAGGATATAACAGAATAAAGTAAATGGCAGATTATTCAGAGAGCCATACATACGACAGCAGGACAAGACGGGCGCTGAAGATAAACATCTCCAGGCTGTGATGATCCATCCCATGCGCGCCCATTGCTTCGCTCCTCCGGTTGCAGGACAAGGCGGCGGCGGGTCCCAGGTGCAGATCTTTCTCGCTACCCTTTTCCCTTTTATGGCGGCAAAAGAGAGAGACTGCGAACGAACGAAGAGGCCAACAAATATCTGAGGCCCGATATTTTCCCTGCCCCTGCCACGTGTCGGCCAGCCACGTGGAAAAGCGCCGGCACGTAGGCGTAAAGCTCCCGTCCAAGGGCCCGGTCGGGTGTCGATCCGTCTTTAATCCTGTCTATATCGTCCTTGCGTTTCATTTCAATGGCCATTCTCTCCTCTGCGGGCTGCGGCTATATACCTCTCTCTCCCTCTCTGCCCCCTTCTGTTCTTCCACGTTTCTCCAGAGCCTGAGCCAAATCTAGGGGCTTCCTTCATCTGCTGCCCGAGCGTGGTTTGATTTTTTATGGGGTAGTGCGGTCTAAGAGCTCACCTGAATTCCGCCAAAATTTGCCGCTGCAGTTCTTTGCATAGGTGTGTCGTTGGCTTCTGATCCTTGGGGGTTTTCTTGGTTCTTTAGTTGCGATCTTCTGCAGGTTTGTCTCTCTCAATCTGTAATCATCCGGCGCATAGGAATTGCAGCTCTTTCCTGCACTAGTTTGCTTATTTGTTCGTCTTCTGCCTTTCTCCAGCCTGGTTAAAAAATCGAAAGGGGAAATTTTTTATGTTCCTCGAGAAGGAAGCAGTGAGACGTAATTGTTGCATCTGATAAAGGTCGGGTGAAATACAAGCAGATCCTTGGAACTTGCATCCCTTTGCTGGTTCTTTTCTGATTCAAAGAACCCAATGGGGGATGTGTCGTTGAATCGACCCATTAAAGCCGAGCCAACTGCCGGTGGCATTGCCAAGGTACCAGTAAACAATAGAGTTTTTTTTTCTTAGCATATCTGTCAGTTCTTTAGTTCGTGTAATTTTCATGATCTCCTTTCTCTTAACAATATATATATATTTTTCATTATTTTGTTACCCAATTCCTATACACAGTAAGCTAGACGTTTTATTTATTATTTGACAGGGGAATCGAATTCTGGACACGATGTCAGCTGGGTGGACAGATGAGAGACACATGCTATATATAAGCTCTATGGAGGCTTCTTTTGTCGATCAACTATACAATCATGGAAACAATCCGCAGAATGCAAATGGCACTGGCTTCAAGGTTCTCCGCAGGGGTGTGTGGGAGTACATCAAGTATGAGAAGACTAATGCTCCTGTGAGAAGTGGGGCTAAATGCTGCGTCCCTGTAAATCCTTGGATCCAGCATTTCAGGCCACATGATTGCCGTAGTAACGCACAAAGTGATGGGGTCGAGGCTTCAGTGGGCGATCATGAATCGGGTACTCAGGCAAACCGGAAGAGCCTTTCTGTGTCTCATGGAAGGGAATGGGAAGCTTGTAAGGGAGAACCCCAGCTTCTTCATGAAAGTACAGGTGACTAACTTCATTTTTATTGCATTGGTACATTTTGGTCAAATGCTCAAATTCTTCCGTAGTTGTCTGAACATCTTTACTTAGTATCTGAACATTGTTTTTACTAACAATCACAACCCAGCTATAAGGTGTCCTAATTAGCTATGCAGCTAGTTCTTAATTCAATGCAGTTCATCCATGATTGTTTTCCATGACATGTACCGAGATTGCACAACTGGTGCCATAAACTTCACTCATACATTTTATTAGCAGTAACATATCTATTGAAGAGACGTGAATAATAGAACAGCTCAATTACTCCAATAACTTGTTTGTTTTTGTTCTGAATTCAACCAGCACTGCTCAGCAGCAGCACCGTGCAGTAAACTTGTTTGTAATGCCAATTTTGTATCTTTCCTCCCTCTGCAGAGGTCTCTGATCAAAATTTTGCTGACGATGAGGCTGAAGTTGAAGCAGAATCAGTGAAAGCATGCAAGAGGAGATTAAGCAGCACTTCGCACTACCGTGATGAATGATCAAGTAAATTTGCAGGATCAATTAGCTTAGCCTGTTGCAAGAATTGAGATAACTATCCTAAACGAAGGTGCTAAGATGATGGGACATGTCTCTCAAAATTTCAGCTGTTGTCTGTTGGTAGCCAAGACACTTTGAATCCGAAGGAAGCCGAAGATGTTGAAGGGTAGCTGTTAATGATTTTGTGATATGACGAGTATTGGAGCAGTTAGCATCGGCATTTTAGTGGATCAAGTTCTTGTTATGTGTATCTGTCTTTTTTGCAGTCGCCATCAGTAGTGCTGCTTATACCTCACTCTCTCGTCAGAAGGATATTAGGCTAGGTCTCTCTCTACTTGGTAGACATATGTATTGGTTGATCCTACGAGTGTAATGTTTTCTGCTGCAGCTTTTGGGGCAGCTAGTACTAATTTTTTTCAATAACAGTGAAATGTACATATACATGTTTGCCAAATGGTGAGAATCATTACTGATTTCCAATTCGCAAACTATTTGTTATGCCTCACTCTGTCGATGTCGTGGACATGTAACATGTTCCCGGAAGGAAGGTACAGGTCATGCTTGCCATTTGCCGTTGAACGATGGTCTTTTTTTTTCTTCTTGTCTTCAGAAGACTGAAAGTGAAGTTACAGTAACAGTGACCAAGATCCATCCCTCCCTGTTCAACTCATGGAAGTGTTTCCGGAGATATGAATTCGGACATATAGTCGTTGTAAGTAAAATGGACCTTAAGTCTATTTACTTTGGATTTTGGTGTTTGATAATCAACACAACCAAATTGGACTAATAAATTTGCAAGTAATTGTTTTGTAGTTCAATAAGGTGCAAGACGTGACTTGGACGAAGGCGACATGATGATTCGACGATCAACATCATAAGCAAGACCCTAGAAGCACAAGAGAAGATCCAAGATATCAAGCAAAGTCCAAGCACGAAGATGGGAACCAAGCCGGACACAAGGATCGCGAAGAAACAAATGAAGAAGGACGCTGCCACGAAGGCACCGGACACGTCCGATCGTTGCCCATGCAACCGCAGTGACCGACGCGATGACCGAACGCTAAGCAAAGCAGTGACCAGACACACAGGTGACATTGTTCATCATCACGGTAACGTTCTCAACGTGACCGGACGCGACGGCAGGATGACCTGATGCACCAAGAAGTAGCGTCCGATCATGTCTAGAAAGGTTCCAGAGCGGCACCAGCGCGACCGGACGCGTCCGATCGAGTGAGACGGGACTCGGCCCAGAGTCAGATCAACGCGCGAGCTCCAACGGTCGGGAGGACCGGACGCGTCCGATCAAAACGTGACCCGCGTCCGGTCGCTAGATGAAAGCTGGGTTTTGTCCCCAACGGCTAGTTTCAACTTGGAGGTTATAAATAGACCTTCCAACCTACCATTTGAGGAGGGGAGAGCTGAGAAAACATACAAAGGGTGTTGATACACCATTTTAGTGATATCCACTTGCATAGTGCTTAGTGATTCATTAGGTGATTAGCGTAGGTGCTTTGCGAAGTGCTTAGGTTGATTAGACCACCGTTTATGCGCTTGCTCTAGGTTTAGGCCTAGTGTTTAATGAGGTTTGCACACCTCTTATCACTCGGTGCTTGCACGCACCATTGTTGTACATCGAAGGGGCTTGTAGTCTTGCGAGATCACACCAACCGCGTTTGTGGTGTGGCCGCCACTGTGTAACGAAGGGAACAAGCCCAGTGGCGGTTCGGCCGGAAGCTTCATAGTGAAGACGTCGGGGAGCGGTCCAGGAGAGGCTTGCCGGAAGGCACACCGGAGACCCACTTGCGCGTGGGGAAGGCCCGGGGCTATCCACGGAGTTACCCGACCGGGAGCTTAGCCCTTGCGACGGATTCCTTACGAGGGGCTCTAACGAGGATTAGGAGGAAGCTTGAGCGCTTTTCGATACCTCGATAAAAATATCGGAGTCGTCGACGGGAGTTTGCATCTCTACCTCATCTTTACCTTCTGCATTTACACTGCTACCTTGGTTGATTGCTTTACTTTCCTAGCTTCGTTGATAGGCTAGCTGATAGGATTGGAACCTAGGTTGCATAACTCTTTTGCGGTAGAGATATCAACACACCTAACAAAATCGTAGTTGCACATCTAGATAGATTACTTTCTTGTATATGTTTTAACTAGGTGGAATTAGATGCCATAGTTTAGAGTAGATTTTTAAGTTGCATAATTCACCCCCCTTTTAGGCGTCACGGTCCCTTGCAATTGGTATCAGAGCCGGTTGACTCAATTTGAACCTTTGGCTTCACCTCCGTTGAGCCGATGCTATTTTGAGAGGTTGAGATGGATACCTCTATGCCTCTATACTTTGACAGTGTAAGGAAATGGACCTTAGGCCCATTTACTTTGGATTTTTGTGTTTGATGACCAACACAACCAAATTGGACTAATGAATTTGTAAGTGGTTGTTTTGTAGTTCAATAGGGTGCAAGACGTGACTTGGACGAAGGCGACGTGATGATCCGATGATCAACACCTTAAGCAAGACCCTAGAAGCACAAGAGAAGACCCAAGATATCAAGTAAAGTCCAAGCACGAAGATAGGAACCAAGCCTGACGTAAGATCACGAAGAAACATGCTCGGCAGAGTGACCGGACGCAGCGACCGGACGCTGGAAGGTGATCGACCGAACACGTCCGATCAGTTGCTTGACAACAGCAGGCGTCAGCGGCAGCGATCGGACACTGAAGACTGAAAGTGACTGTAAGGAAAATGGACCCTAGGCCCATTTACTTTGGATTTTGGTGTTTGATGACCAATACGACCAAATTGGACTAATGAATTTGCAAGTGATTGCTTTGTAGTTCAATAGGGTGCAAGATGTGACTTGGACGAAGGCAACGTGATGATCCGATGATCAACACCATAAGCAAGACCTTAGAAGCATAAGAGAAGACCCAAGATATAAAGCAAAGTCCAAGCATGGAGATAGGAACCAAGCCGTACGCAAGATCGCAAAGAAATGAGCTCACAGAAGTGACCGGACGCTGGTAGCATAGTGATTGGATGCCTCGATCAAGAGGCTCGGCAGCAGCAGTGACCGGACGCTGGATCAGACACTGACGGCAGATCGACCGAACGCAGGACAACAGAGTCCGGTCTAGTACAGAGAGGTTCTAGAGCGGCGAAAATGCGACCGGACGCGTCTGGTGGCATGTGACAGGACGCTGGCGGCGTCTGATCAAGTGGATCGCGGCTCCAACGGTTGGGACGACCGGACGTGTCCGGTCAGGACGTGATCAGCGTCCGATCAGTAGCAAAAAAGCAGGATTTCGACCCCAACGGCTACTTTCTCAGTGAGGCTTATAAATAGACCCCCAACCGGACCAAGTGAAGGTGGTGGAGCTGAGGGAACATGTCAAGGGTGTTGCTACACCATTTTAGTGCTCTCCACTTGCATAGTGCTTAGTGATTCATTAGGTGATTAGCGTAGGTGCTTTGTGAAGTGCTTAGGTTGATTAGACCACCGCTTATACGCTTGCTCTAAGTTTAGGCCTAGTGTTTAGTGAGGTTTGCATACCTCTTACCACTCGGTGCTTGCGCGCACCATTGTTGTACATCGGAGGGGCTTGTAGTCTTACGAGATCACACCAACCGCGTTTGTGGTGTGGCCGCCACCGTGTACCGGAGGGAACAAGGCCCACGGCATTTCGGTCAGAAGCTTGATAGTGAAGACGGCGGAGAGCATCCGGGAGAGGCTTGCCGGAAGGCATGTCGGAGACGCACTTGCCCGTGGGGAAGTCCCGAGGCTATCCACAGAGTTACTTGACCGGGAGCTTGGCCCTTGCAAGGGATTCCTTGCGAGGGGCTCCAACGAGGACTAGGGGGAAGCTTGCGTGCTTCTCGATACATCGGTAAAAATACCAGAGTCATCGATGGGAGTTTGCATATCTCTACCTTGCTCTTTAGCTTCCGCATTTACATTGATGGTATTACTCCTTTTGCGGTAGAGATAGCAATACACTAGCAAAACCGTAGTTGCATATTTAGATAGTTTATCTTTTGAATAGGTTTTGCTAAGGTTAGAAAAAGAGACCATAGTTTAGAGTTAGATTTTTAAGTTGCCTAATTCACCCCATCCTCTTAGGCATCACGGTCCCCTACAAATGGTATCAGAGCCGGTTGGCTCAATTTGGGCCTTTGGCTTAACCGCTGTTGAGCCGACGCTTTTAGAGTGATTGGGATGGATACCTCTAGGCCTACGCACTTTGACAGCACTAACTTCCCCTATTATAAAGCTATAATGGCTTGCTACCTTGAGGCGGATGATTTGAGTGTTTGGAGAGTCACTCGTGATGGGATGAAAGCCATTAAGAATCCCGATAAACCCACGAATAGTGAAGAAAAGGAAATTTATTTCAATGCTAGAGCTAAAAATTGCTTGTTTGAATCATTTAGTATGAACGTGTTTAACCAAGTGTTCACTTTAAATACGGCACATGAAATTTGGTTAAAACTCCAAGAGCTCCATGACGGCACATCTAATATCCGTGAGCAAAAACATTGTCTAGCTAAATAAAATTATGATTCCTTTATAATGAATGATGATGAGCTTGTTCGTGATATGTATTCTCGTTTGAATCTAATTATCAATAAGCTCCATTCAATAGGACTAACAAAGCTAGATGATGCAGACATCGTGAGGAAGATCATCTCCGTGCAACCATAAAAGAAATATGCAAGCATCATCACCATCCTTCACAATATGGAGGACTTGAGCACCATGACCTCGGCCATAGTCATTGGCAAGATAGTGGTATTTGAAATGTCACGCAAGATGGGTCAAGAAGAAGCCTCTTCATCAAGCAAAGACAAAGCTCTCGCATGTAGAGAGAAAAAGAAGATGAAGGGCAAGCAAGTTGAGACAAGCTCAAGCTCAAGCTCCTCAAGTGAAGATGAAGAAGAAGATGAGGACGATGATGATGATGATGAAGATTCAAGTGAAAATGATCAATCTTCCTCCTC